TTTCCCATTTCTTTCTCTTTTTTTTTTCAATTCAAGGTGAAGTCCGTGCATTGTAAAGCTGGAGACACAGTGGGAGAAGGAGACCTGCTCGTGGAACTGGAGTGAAGCATTCATGGCCTCTCCATCATCACTCATTTTAATTAGCCTTTTCTCTTATTCTCCCACAATCGATTTATTTACACGTTTTACAGGAATATTCCTGTGCAGCAGGTTTTACATTGTCATATTTATTCCACATAAGAGTCAAAACCAACATTCTGCCAAAAAAAAATCACCAATGGAAATTTTTATTGATATAAATACTTGTACATATGATTCGTACTTCTGCTGTGAGATTTCCTAGTGTCAAAATTAAATCAATAAAACTGAGCATTTGTCTAAATATTAGTTTGCCCTTTTTTATTTTGAGTGGAGACAATGTACACATAGGCTACAGGCTGTGCCAGTAAACTGTAAATACTGCATTTTTTGTGAGCGCGTAAGGGATCTATGTAAGTTCCAGTCCCCTGCCTTCCCTTTTACTAAGTCAGCATTCGCCGTTTCTAATGACTGCCGTGCTTCTCCCGAAATCGAGGACCTAAGTCCTGCTGCTGATTGTCGTGACCACCTGCTGACCAGGTGGCAGGAGGCCTTCGGAGGCCGCTCCTGCTTTGGCTGTGCATGGGGGTAGCCCTGGCTGGCCTCTCAGGAGGCCACCTGAGGGCTTGTGGCTGACATGGAGTGTGCCCGCACCGAGCTGAGGAAAAGCATGGCGCCTGGGCCCTTCCCCATCCTGGCCTTTTCGTGTTTTTGTGAAGTGACTTTCCAATTTAAGAAAAAGAGGCTAAAAATAACGACCGTGTTTTTGTGCCAGAGGCAGTGCTCACAGTCTACCATTAAGCTGAGCGGGCGCCATCTCCCAGCGGAGATGCAGGGCACCCAGGCTGAGCAGCTGCCTGTGCGCTGGGTTCTGAGGTTCCTGGAATGCGCTTGCTGCTTTGCTGGGAAGCAGATCCGAGTCGTGGCTGATCTGCATCTACGCTGACAAATTATCAGATGGAGGTGGGTAGTAATTGGTACCCTGTGCCTTGCTAAAATTATTCTAAGTGCTGTTTGTATTTGGAAACTAAGCTTTCTGTCAGGCCTGAAGAGCAAACTGCTAGCGTGCTGGCTCTTCGCTGAGGGGCCCACCCCCAGTGCAGTGTCCTTCAGGAGCCAGCGCCAGCCTGGACACTGCGCTCTGGACCCGGATAACCTCCATTTGAAGTCCGGTCTGCTCAGCGGCGTCTACCAGCAAGTGAGTGTTCATTATTTTGCTAAGTTAGAATGAAAAGAACCTTCTACCAAATAAAACAAGGGCCAAACATAGGGCTGATGCTTTTAGATTTTAATTCCCAAAACATCCCGTTTAATTTTAAATGATTATCTCTAATAGTTACTATGTTAAGCTTGGTCTGAAAATTATGAGGGATGCTGCTTTTATATACTTCAAAAGACAGCACGTTTTTCTTGAGGATTTTTTTTTCCCATTACATTGAGCCACCCCAAAATCAACCTGTATTTTAAAAAACTCTTCTCTAGATGCGTACAGGTCAGAATCGGGGTAGCAGGGCTGCTGAAATCTAGCCACAGAACCAAATCCTCACATTCATTTTAAATGTTATCTTCAGATTAAAGCGAAGCAAAAACGAAGAAAAGTATGATAACATATGAGTCTCTAAATGCCATTTAGGGAATTAAAATCCTAAAGTTTTCTGATCTGATACATTTAAGCTCATGTGCTCTCTGAGCCTGAAGCACCACAGTCATAAAGGATGGAAAGATTTGAAGATACAATCTTATCAATAATTCAAAATTATTTGTAAAATCAGCTGCCACTGAAAAGTGATTTCTTCTGCAAATCGAGTTTACAACAAATTTCTTAAAGGGGCAGTGTAATGCTTCCGCGTTCGCGAGGCCAGGCTGAGCAGCCCCTCTGGCAGCCACAGAGCTAGCGCTGTCTGCTGGCGGGGCCTCACTGCCCGCTCATCTGTTCTCCCGGGGATTGTAGCGCAGCCCGTGCTGCCCCTCGGAGTCGTAGTCCTCGTGGTACGGGAGGTGTGCCCAGCTGGGTGAGTAGGTGGCCGTGGTGTACACGAAGCACTGCACCACCTCACTGGCCACCGCTCGCTCGGGGCCACCCGTGCCCTCTCCACCGAGCGCCTCCACGGGGACCAGGGTGCGCTGGTACATGGTGGGGCAGCCTTCGAAGTCATCGAGGAAGCGCAGCATCTGCTCATCCACCACGTAGATCTCGCCCAGCACACGGACCCCCTTCCCGGGGAGGGTCAGCAGCCGCGGGATATTGTGCTCCCCGGCGATCACCAGGGGGTAGGGTTCCACCGTGCGGGCCTGGCTGCGGAAGGCAGCCGCGCCGTTCGCGCTATCCAGCAGGACCTGGTGGTTGGGCTGGCCCCGCTTCAGCGTGCCGTACACAAAGATGTGGGCCATGGCGCCAGGAGCTACAGGGGGAAAGCAGACAGGCTGTCAGCAGGGGCCAGAGCACGGCTGCCCTTAGCAGGCGCAGCGCCTGGCCGCGGAGGCCAGGTGTTCTGTACCAGCTCTGCTGGGCACAGATGTTTGCAGAGAGGTAGTGTTTCCCAGCTTGCTTCATGGTCATGGAAATTAGAATTGCATGTTTTTCACTCGTCATGGCTATTTTGACTCACCTTTCCCCCTCAGGCATTTAGAAATGTAAAAGCTGTAGTTTGGGGGACCAGTAGATGGTGTAGTGGTTATGTCGCCAGACTCCCACATGGACCACCGTGGTGTGGGTCCTGGACCAGTGGCTGGAAAAGCATGCTGGGAAATCACACTCAGTGCGTGTGCGGTGCGTGTCCAAGATCTTGGAACCCCAGAAATGGAGGAGAAGGGATTGTGGCATGGCCATTCCCCCTGGGGGTGATTGCTCACTTTCCCTTTCACTGTGTCTGTCTTTCTTCCCACAAGCACATGTGCCCTAAGGGGAAAAAAAAAACCTCTATTAAAAAAAAAGCCATTTTTAGTTAGTTTTTTTTATTTTTGGAGAGGTTTTCGCTATAGGGCACGTGCGCTTGCCAGACAGACAGAGACAGAGAGACAGAAAGCAAGAAATGCCCCCCTAGGGGAGATGGCCACGCCGCAATCCCTTCTCCTCCATTCTCCTCTCGGGATCTTGGGCATGCACGCACATGTGCCCGGCGTGAGTTTTAAGCCACCGGGTCCGGGATGCGAACCACAGTTGACTCGTGGGAGTCCAGCGACATAGCCATTACGCTAACTGCTGGTTCCCAAGCCATTTTTAGCTTTGAGGCTGTTCAAAACCAGACACAGGGCAGACTCACTTGTGGGTTGTAGTTTGCTGGTTCCCATTCTAGAAAAAGGCCAAACGTGTGTGACTTTGGAAACCTGTCACAGGACTGGAGGGTGTCCCAGCGGTAAAACACAAGGCTCTGCGAGGCCTGCCACCTGGGAGGGTTCCCAGTTGGCATCTGGAAACCTCCCTGAGCACACCAGGCATGTGCGTGCCTATACTCTAGGCAGGGCTGGCTGAAGCTGGGGTGCATTGCGGGCATCAAGACCCTCTTCAGGTGCTGTCTCTCACTCATGAAAGAAACTTAAAAACAAAAGCAAAAAATAAAAAAAATCCTGTCATGTCTTGGAGAGAACTTGGAGGTGGCCCTGCTGTTTTTCCCTTTGGGGTCATCGGCTCCCAAGCGATGCTCAGTCCACAGGCCCCGGCTCGGTGCAGGAAGACAGCAGGAGAGCCGCCCCGCTGCACTGTGATGGGCCCGCCCTGCGCTGCACTTCTCGCTATAGGTTGCCAGCCCGCCTCAGAGGCCCTGGTGCAGCCCACGCTGTGGAGCAGCCCTGGGTGTTCAGCCTGGCAGCCATAGGGGAGCCAATGCGGTCTCCCAGCCCTGCAGGGGAGGCCCCTTCCCCCCTCGCCACTGAGGAAGAGTAGTCTTACTCAGGCCTCACCTAGCACCGCTGTCCTCTCAGGGCACAGGCCTCCCTCACCCCTGTGGGTCACCAGCCCTGGCTCCTGATTCCAGCTACCCCAGTGGTAGCAGCTTCAGGCCACAGGCCCAGCACCGACCTCTCAGGCATCCTGTGCTAGGCCAGCGGCAGCTTCTTATCAGAAACGCCACCTCCCCTCAGAGTCATCTGTCCAGGAAGGCACTCACTTTACTGAACAGCTGTGTGTCAGATGGGGACAGGCTGTTTGGGGATCAAGCCCTGAACTGCTTTTCCTTGAGCAGTTTTCAGTCTTTTTAAAATGACTTTGAAAATTGCACACTATTTATTACAGGAAAATTGGGAATGCTAGCTTCTGTATATTGTCTAATCCCCTGTAATCCAGCTACGGGACAGCTGAGGTGTCAGTACTCAATGTGCGTCCAGTCCTGCCGGTGTGACCAAACTTAAACATCACACCTTCTCCAGGGTCCTAGAGGTCCCGACGCGTCCTGGTGACTCACGGTGACTCACTGCAGCGACCTTGGTGTCGATGTGAAGATAAATATCTACTGCTCGCCTGGGTCTAGGCCACAGACTGTCACCGAATGACAGAAGTGATCTGAGTAAAAGTGACTCTAACCAAAATAGAAGTAAGCGTTGAGAAGCGCTGGGGCTCCCCCTTCCGAGCCTGCTCCTCCGTGTCCTTCAGCCCAACACTGTGGAGGACTAGCCTGCGGCGGGCTTTGGAGATGGGGCTGTGGTGCAGGAAGACACAGCCGGCAGAAACATCGCGAGGTGACTGCCTAATCTCACTCAGGTATGTCACCACTCGGGTGCACAAGTGGCCCTTGCAGACCCTGCAGTCCACTCAGGACTTCTGTTTTCATCTTAGTACATCAGGGCTGCTCTGGGGCTCAGTCTGGCCTCTTTGGTGCCACCTGGGGCAGATGGGCAGCATCTGGGCCACCTTGGTGCTCACCCCTCCTCTCTGCTGCCTTTCAGTTGGGCCACCAGCCTGGGCGACATCTAGTGTTGTGGACATTGAAGGCATGGCCGTGGGAAAGACAAAGCTGGACTGGCCATTTGATAGCTCTGGGGCAGCCTGACCTGAGCTCCAGGTAGGGCCACTCTGACAACGTGGGGGCACAGACTAGCCCCGGGGTTGGGATGGGGTGGATGGATGTGAAAGTCAAGATGTGAATTAAGAGGAACCTGGGATCGAGTGGCGAGTGGCGAAGAGGAGGATGAAGAAAGTGCTTTTGGTGTGGAGTAACACCTATCTGTAAATATGGCCTTTTCAGAAAAGGGAACGTCCCCACCCCTTGCTCCCTGGTGGCAACGCTCAAGCCTTCTGTCCCATTTGGTATTTATCTCCTTGTTACTTACACTGCTACCTCTTGATGTTTTAAGTTTTATTATAGGGCACATGTGCTTGTCAAAGAGAGACAGCAAGTGAGAGAGAGAGAGAGAGAGATGGAAAGTGAGAAAGCACCCCCCAGGGGAGATGAAACACGGCAGTTCCCTTCTCCTCCATTCTCCTCTCGGGATCTTGGGCATGCACGCACACGCG